GTCGTGTATCAGCACGTCAGTTCTTCGCAGTCGCTAGGTCAGTTCCTTGACGAGGACAACCGCATGAAAGCGACGGGAACAAGCGGCCAAGGTGATGACCGACGATTAAAAAAACGAGTGACGCGACGGGGGACCGTGAGAAATCGCCGTCACTCCTCGCTGTCTCCGTTGCTCGTCTCGTCGCTCGCTAAATCGATTACATGCCGTTCAGCCTTTAAAACGAAGGCGGTCGCCGTCGGCGAGAAAGTGCTTTCTTGCCGTCTCCCACGGCGAAAGAAGGCTGCAATTGGCGGGGAGTACGACGGCAGCTGCACTCCTTTCGTCTCTTGCGCTACAAAAATGCATGCAAAATTAATACCGCGAATGCTCGCGCTACGAATGCTCGCGTTTTTGCGGAAGATATAAGCAAACTCAGAAAGACTCGTGAAATGTCAAGACAGTTTTTTTTTTTTTCATTAGGCCTAAAACTATTTACGACGGACATCAACGGTTAGACAGGTCAATCAGAATCATTCAACCACCGAGCACACACAAACCGGGAAGAAGTGCTCAGCGTCAAGGAGGAGGAGGTGGAGAAACGCTTCTTGCACGACGAAACCCAATCCAGTGACAGCGGCTCGTTAGAACTATCCTCGGAGCTGTCCAGGTCCACGCACACACTCGCCCCGTCGAGCGTATGAACGTTAACTATTCACTCCAACACGGGAACATGAGAACTGCACACGACACAAGGCAAAAACGGCAGGTTCACATCGGAGAAATTAGCGCAGTGTTGCCAGACGGAGAAAAAAAAAGTCAGCAGATTGATCCCCAAAAAGTCAGTAGATTTGCACAAAAATCAGTAGATTCTGCGAAATCTGTGTTTTGCCATGTTTTGCTATTTCCATTAAACCACACTTCGAAGAAATAGTATAGAGTAACAAATAACATGGTAATAAACACCAATAAAAATGAAAAAAAAAACCATTTCATGAGTAATTTTTTTTTTTTTTTTTTTTTTTTTTATGGAGGACAAAGTAAAGTAGCACCGTGAATGTTTTTTTTATTATTTCTTTTTTTTTTTATCAGCATTGTGTTGCGATTTCGAGGATTATTCTTTGAAATCGAGACTGAGCCACTTTTGGGATCAACAGATGAGGGCGACAGTGCGACATCCACCTGTCGCCGTTATTGAAACGAAACCGAAACAAGACGTTCCGGCAAGTGCGCGCCTATGGTGCGCGCGTACATGTCCAATGTAAGTTTTCTGCAAGCTGCCATTTTTCCTTACTGGGCTGTGGAAGGTTTTTGACGCAACGCTGTCGGCGCGGAGCACTGTTGAGGCTACGCGTCCTCTGTGACGGGCTTTTTTCTTTTTCGCCAGTCTCAAAGTTTGCGTTCAAACGTGGAGAAACTTAATTCGTTAGCTTTTTAAGCCACCGAGGAATAACATATTATATAATTTTCTTTCCAGAGCCTGCCTGATAAAAGTAAAGAACCGAAATTTGGATGTCGATCCCATGCATTCCGCCGGGCGAATGAATGAGAATGGCGGCCCTCTCCGCTCAGCTGGGTGGGAGCAGCCGAGAGTTCATGCGCACACGCCTCTCGCTCTGCGACACAGGCTGATTGGCTCACTCGGGAGAGCGACGTTACGGCGGCGAGATCGTAGACTACCCAAACTATCCCATATAAGGCTCTGACTCCAGTCACCGTCGGATTGCCCTCGAATCTGCTCTGGGTGAATAGATCGATGAATATACGGCTAAGTCACTCGAATAGGACGGGCTTCTGGGCCATTTAGCCAGTGCTTCGTTTTTAATGCTGGGAGAATATGAGTTTCCTTTGATGGGCGACCCTGGGAACTGAAGGGGCCAAACAATAAATTTTGATATGTTTACAAAAAACAAAAAAAAAAGCCAGTAGATTTTCTTTTTTTTCAGTGAATCAGTAGACCCGAAACGAAATCAGTAGATCTACTGATAAATCAGTAGACCTGGCAACACTGAATTAGCGTCTTGCGAACTCCGACTGGCCCCAAATCGCTTGTCGCACAATGTTGCCAAGCGTCTCTTGTGAAAGAAAAACATGTTTTAATAAAATACAAAAATAAAAAAAATATATAAAAAACAGAATAAACTTTTCTTGTTTTCCGAAACGTCTTTAGTATGTGCTACGTGGCTATTTTCATCGCAGATAAATTCAAAATGAAAATATAAACGCTCACAAACGAATGCAAACGAGAAGGAAAGTAAGTAAGCCGCATGGACATTGCATCAACAATTGCTGCTGCGCTCGCTGCAGCGCTGGCTTCCACGTCGTGCTGGTACGGAGGCTGCGATCGTTATAAAGTCAGCTCCAACCCTTAAACATGCCCCCTCATACAATATTTTACGCTAGGATTGCGTGTGGATACCTCCCCAGCGATCCGAAACAGCAAGTACGTCGCTAACGCTGGCAATCGGGTATGAAGCAACTGCCGCCATCTTCTCCGGGCCTGTGCGGTAGTAAATAACTAGTAAAAAGGTAGTAACGCTCAGAAAAGGTAGTAATGGCTGCATTTGCTAACTTTTACTACCTATCGCGCGTTTGAGGTAATAAATGGTTAGTGAAAGGTAGTGACAGTCCGAAATAGGTAGCAATTGTTGCAGTTACTAGCTTTTTACTAGCTTTCTTATAAAGAGTGTGTGTGTATATTTATACAGCCTAGAACTTAGTCCGCCTCAACGAGCGACTTGTCTCCCAGCTGCAGATTATAAATTTAGCCAGTGCAGTGCAACCGCTAGCCTGGGGTCTTTAACTTGCACCACGCAGTACTGATACACGACCGTACGGCGGTGCGATGCTCATCCAGATCAAAGCAGGCAGGGGTTGGAATTGAACCCAGAAAGAGGAGGCCCGCAACAGGTGTTGGTAGTAATATTCTGGTCGCATTGGTATCCTGAAGGAAGTGGTATCAGAACTGAGAGTGTGTCTGCCATCAGTTCAGCCGCCTCCTGCGCGGTAAGTCCAAGAACGACTTCCAGGCCCGCAATGGGGTGAGTTGGCGCCTTCGGCTATGAAACTTTTCGGGCCATTCTCTATGCACGAGAGATGACTGAAGGAGATCCGAACTCGGCACAGAGTTGATCCCATTGATGTCGTTAAAGCCGAGACGTGTGCCTGCGAAAGACGGCATCAATGTGCTAGTTCTGAGTCAAGTCTGCTGGATCATCGAATCTTTGTGCACGCCGTAGGACTCTCCTAAGGGCTGCCCTGAAATTGAGATACGTCTGGTCAGGGTTCGGACAAGTAATCGTAACCCCGATTATTTTTGTATTCATAGTAATGGCATGATCAACTGTGGCAGGCGGGTCATTGGCGCGTTTGGCTGTAGCACATTTCATGTGCGCTCGAAATAGGTACCAGTTTGTTACACGTACATCCTTGTATGTAATAGTATTCGTTTTCTGCCGTGGTGGCGTGATTAATGTTGGAATGTGGCTACTTCCCCATGTGTCCCGTTAAGTATCCCATTCTCCGCTGATATCTGGAGAGATTAAAGTGACGTCCAGTGCGCTTTCATTAACTCCCCGTCCTATGTAGCTTTCAGCGTTATCATTCAGAGCTTGAAGGTGTAGAGATGCCGTTACATCTTCCACCTGGATGCCTCTTCTTGTCGTCTGTCTATCTCCCCAGATTTCGTTGTGAGAATTAAAATCTCCGCAGATATTGACATTCCCTTTCGGCACAGCTTTCACCTGTCGGAGCTCATCTGGGTCCCATGAGACATTCGGTGGCACATATAACAAAATAATAGAAAAAACTTTTCCGCGGGCTGATGCTCACACCAGCCTCTGCAGCAGACCCCTTAGCGATGGAGGAAAGGTCTATGGGGGTTGTTTAATCTTCTCAATAATAAAAAATGCCACACGAGAGCGGCCATCAACTTGTTTTGAAGTACTCAGGTAAATGACATAAGGGTAAAGTCTGCAGTCTCCTGGTCGAATCCCGGGTTCATTAGTAGCAAGTACATTTGTTCTATTAGTAAGTAAGTTTTTTTCCGTAAACCAGGGAGACGAGGTCGAAGGCTGTTGGCGTTTTATTGGAGAGGCATGGGGATCTTGCGCTTATGGTTTTGTGAAATTTTGCATTTGTTGGTGTAGTGATCCAGGTCCATTGTGCTGATTAACGCTATGCGTGATAGTAGGAATCATTCAAAGGAATTATTAATCTCTCCATAGCAAGTGGAGCCTGTACTTCTGGGAGGTTGTTCAAGCAGGGGACGTTTGTATGATAGCTTTTAGTGCCGCAAATAACATGGGCAGAAGTACCTGCGAGAAATCTCCTTGTTATCGAGGGTACCGTGACGGGCTTCCCAATGAAAGTGATGCTGATGTGCCGGAACAAGGCGTTTGATTATGTCTACTCTTCCGTGATGCAGGTTGATTACACTGTGCTGGCACGGGTCTTGTCATTGTGGATGCTCTTGAATGTATCTCCAGTGCAGTAAAGTATTCTGCCTTGTTTCTTTTCTCTCTGAGTATTTTTGCGAGGGGTATGTTTAAAGACCGCGGCATAACTTGTCTGCGCAGGTAGTGCGTGCAAATACGCTGGCTGTGGTGGGCAGCGAACTACCGTTGGATTCGATGACGGAGCTAAGCGCCCTGAATGCCCTCGGGTGATGATGGAGATTCCTTTTGCTATAGTGGCTGCTTTCTTTCGAGGGCAGTTAGAATATATGGCCGAGTGTTTTTCACTACAGTTCACACATTTAGGTTCATTCCTAGAGTTTCCTTCTTTATGGCTGTGTGGTGCGAAAATCCCTGACAACGGCGTTCAATTTTGCAGTTTCTGGCGATGTGGCCATGCCTTTGGCAGGTGGAGCATTAAAACGCGTGTCCGTGTTATTCTTTAACAGGATGACTTATGAATCTGAGGTACACGCGCAGAGGCTTGGCTTGGTCGCTCCGGAACCTGAGTACCACACTCTTAAAAGGCCGTTCCTCCACGGTTCTGTCCTCCTGACGACGGTATGCTACCTGGCGTTGAACGAACACAACGCCGAACTCTTTAAAATATTCCAGAAGTTCGTCGTTGGTGCACTTAAGTGAAACATTTTTTACTTCCTCGTAGTCCCTAGAGTATGCCTCCGGAACATAAGCAGTCACTGAAATGTCTCCGAGCGAGGTGACGGCGAGGAGCTTGTTTTCCACGTCTAGGGCAGCAACATTCACAAAGAGGTTGCCACATGTGTTGACCTTGTGGGACATTATTTTTTTAATAAGTAATTGAGACGAACTGGTTTGCGAGTAAGTTCGGGTTAAATCACCAGACGGATGCGTTCACCTATGTTTGCTCGAAGAGCACAGGAATACATGTTACTCTATCTTTACGGTATGTGACGACGGTAAATGCCCCCTTGTGGTCTTCATCTGCTACTTTTCTCCAGGGAGTATTCTGAGGTGGCGTCGTCTTCGACTTTTTTAGAATCGGCGGGACGCGGTTACTTGAATGAGCGAACTGCATCTGGTGCTTTGCCAGATATGTCTTGAAGAATAACTTGAGGAGGTTGAATCAGACGCCGTCCGTCATTTCCAAGATCCATAGAACCTGCTTGGTTGTTGATGGCGCCCATTTTTCCAGGCAATGCCGGTGTCACTAAATGATTTCTCCAACTCACGATGGTGCTTGGCTGTCCATTTTTTTTTTTTTTTTTGGCAAGGCGTCGCTTGATAGGGTTGAAGGCCGTAGCTAATTGCTGATGAGATGATAGGCGAGTTAATTGATGATGAAAGTACGCTCACAGGAGCGAGAAATTCGGGCTTCTTGCTCAGAGCAATTCGTCGTCTTTCCTCCAGAATAGAACGCAACAATTTGAAAACATGACGTTTCGTGGATCAAAAGACTAATGAGAAAGACGATATTTTTTTATGAGTTGACGTCCACCTAAGCCTAGTATTTTCAAAACAAAAACTTGACACTGTGGGCGACTGAAACAATCTATTTCAGTAAAAGAGGGAAACAAATACCTTCTCGAAGAAGAAGGTTATTGTTTTCTGTCGTTCCGTCAAGTTGTTTTTCTTTTTTTTTTTTACTGAAATATATGTTATAGGAGCGCACAGTGTTATTTCTTGGTTTGGCGACGTTTGGCTTCGGTGAACGTCTGCTCATAAAGACATTTCGTTGTTCTCAATCATTTTAGAACCAGGTAACGTCATGTTCTTGAACTTTATTGTTCTATCTCAACCGCTAGCGTCACAATCTCAAGCAGCTAGAGCTTTTCTGCGAAGCATAGTTAATTTACCCGGGCGGAAAAACACAGTTCTCTTTTCTCGGAAACTCCCCGTATATATGAACCGAGTGACAACATAAAAAACAAAACCAACTTTTTGCATTACGTTCGCGCGCAAACAGTAGGCACTGATTTATCGCTCCGTTTCTTCAACGAACGCAGTAAAACCTTACGTCAGAATGGGGATGACGAATGGGCGTGGGTTTATATAGCGTTCGCATTGTGCCTGCGAAATGACGTGCAGTGTCAGGAGTCCCGTCTTGCAAATGTCGGTATACAGAAACACGCCGAATGCAGAGCAGTGAATACCCGGCCTCGGTGAAAAAGCGATCACCTACCTAGATAACGCGGTCTAGATAACGCGAAACGACCTCGTGTCCGAGTGTGGGAGGCAGTGGATTTTTTTAGCGTAACGTGTGCATGTCGTCGGCTCTTAGATAAGACGTTCGGTGGATGGTAGGTTTTTATCGCCACCGACAGCTTAATAAACACCGGGCGTGGCAAGGCATCTCATTTTTGCTCCACAGCCAATCAGATAGCAGCATTAGCCGAGAAGAACGACGAAGAACCAATCGCGGTACGTCAGAAGCCCGTACATATTGAGTAGGGCTCGGTGTATTCGGAGTTTATTTTTCGTGAAATTCGGAGGGTGTTTTTCGGAGTTAATTTTTTAGCAAAAATCCGGTGTTTATCGGAGTTTATTTTTCGTAAATCCCCAAATCTCCGAAATTCGGAGATAATTTTGCAGTGTTTCTCATTAAAAATGATAAATATTAACGGGATGTAAACGTATGCCAGATAAAAAATAAAACACGCTGTATCAATTAAGATTTCTTCAGTTGAATTTGGCTTTGGTGTCATTGGCAATACTAATTTGTCCCACGACATAAGTCGCACACAAGTGTGGCTTCAATAAACGTCGATACCTTAAAATCAATAAACTGCCGGAGGTAGCCGCAAGGAAGCTCATAGTCATCCCATCAATCTATCCCGCGGCCGCGCGAGGTGGAGTGGTTAAGGATGTAATAGAGAAGTTTCAACTGCCCCTCTTCCCTATTTTATACAATCTCTATAGTCCATAGTTTTCAATTCTACCCCCAGAAACATACCCTCCCCTTTCTTTAATACCCAAATCCCATGGCCCCCACTGGAAGCCAAAAGAGTGCTTTTGTCGTGACACGAATGGTACGATGACCTGTTTCCCTGAACCAACCTTGACGAGACAAGCCGTAAGACCCCCTTTTGACAACGGTCCGAGGCTTGAAAGATAATTATGGCGTCTTTTTCCCAGAACCATTGATCCTGCACTGCTCAAATTGTCTAGAAAAAAAATAGTTTTTTTTTTTTTGTTGTTGTGGAAAAAGGGGGGGGGGGGAGGGGGGGGAATGGGCACATAACAATTTGGAGTTCATCGGATAAATCCGAATTGACAAAAATTTTACCGGCGGGTGTCTTTCGGAGTTTTTCGGATTTATCCGAAAATACGGAGCCCTAATAATAAGTCACTCCCTGCGTTTCTTACGTTGTCTGTGACTAGCAATTATAGTCAATAGTCGAGGATACATGCATTTTTCTGGAGCTCGTCGAATCGAGCTGTGACGATCGTGAGTGCGTGGAGGAGAAACAAAAAAAAAGGGGGGGGGGGGGGGCGGGGGACAGGTCGCGGTGTGTGAGTGGTTCACTTTTAATTTGATAAGCTACTGTCGCATCGGTGTACACTCTAAGAAAGGCCTGTGCACTCTAAAAAAAGCCCGTGAGTCTGCTCTCCCGCACAACACTCGGAGAGCCAATCACCGCAACTTACGGAGGCAGCTCAGCGAATGACAATGCCGAAACATATGTTTAGACCAAAAAACGCAGTCTGAGTTGTGACATTAAGCAATGCAAGCGTGACCTTTTGCATTGCTTAATGTCACAACTCAGACTGCGTTTTTCGGTCTAAACATATGTTTCGGCATTGTCATTCGCTGAGCTGCCTCCGTAAGTTGCGGTGATTGGCTCTCCGAGTTTTGTGCGTGAAAGTAGACGCAGAAACGTTTTTTAGAGTGTGCGTCTACTTACCCGCAAAACGCTCGAAGAGCCAATCTCTGCGATCTACAAAATCAGCTCATCGAATGATGAGGCGGAACATCTGTTTAGACCTCAAAATTAAGTCTGCGGTGTGGCATTACGCAGTGCAAGAATGACGCTTTGCCTCGCGTAATGCCACAGCGCAGACTTCATTCTGAGGTCTAAACTAATGTTCCGCCTCATCACTCGCTGGGCTGATTTCCTAGATCGCAGAGATTGGCTCTTTGACTGTTTTGCTGGTAAGGAGACGCCCAAGCATTTTTTAGAGTGTAAACACAGACAGTGACCATAAAGACTGTCAGCATGGTAAGCCAGTAAATAAGAATAGACCCTCAAGCACGGAATTCTCGTGCAAATCTAATTATATACGAGGCGCTTTGTCTAGCTCGTTTTTGGCACAGGGCTGAGTGATTAGTGATTATCTAACACAAGCCCCGTGCACAAGATTCATGACGTCAGCTTTTTCCATAATGCTCAGGGCGGACACCAATGCCGAACGCGGAGAGCGCCCACGTTCGGCCTTGTGTTCAAAGGCTGCCTCAGCGCACTGTAAAAAATTTACGTCAATTTGACGTGTCTTTCCCTCGTCAAAAAAGACGGGCACGCTCATCATTTCAAAATACGAGGATGCCCTCATTATTTATTTGGCGCGAGAGCCGAGCCTTCCAGAAAAGCCGAAATCCCAGGAGTGCAAGCATGCGCAGATGGCGAGGAGTTGAATGCCCCGCCGCGCAGCGCGCAGCCCTGCAGCTCTTTCGCGGCCCTCCTCTCTCGCAGAATGGCGGTGTTGGTGCGTTGTTGCCGTTGTTGCAACACCCATCTCTGTTGTTTTGCGGTTTTGCTCCGAGTCGTGCGCCCGTGCCGCGCAGGCGCAAACAGAGGTTGCAGCAGCTATCGCCATGCCATCGCACTTCGGGCGTTCGTCGAACTCGCCTCGGTGGCTGTTGACATCGTGGTCAGTGTAGTGTTCTGTGATGCATCAGGGCCTCATCAGCTCATCGACGACTAAATCGCCCACTTCAAGGTATGCAATGTGACTTTACCCTTGCAATGTCTTGCTTACGTATTGTAATCGAATGTTTCTCCATGTTCGCGGTTCGAGTGCTTTCGGTTGAAGACGGAAAGCGCTCGAGCGTGTTCGAAATCTGCGGTCTGAGAACACGGGCGTCCCCCGACACATCGTGCTTTTGGTGTTTCTTTTTCAGCACGTTATGTTTCCGTTATAATATGCACGTGTTTATTTATCCGTGCTGCAGCGGCGGCGCCTTTACTCAGAGCCCTGCGCCTTATCTCTTAGGAGAACTCGCGAGTACGAGCTTTTATGGAAGCTTAGTTTCTGTGTTTGTTTTTGCAACAACATTCATGCAGCCAGACAACATAAGCGAGCGGCTAACGTCTTTGTAACGATGCAATGTCATTGAACGACGTTTTAGCGGCTTCGAAAACGGAAGTTTCCAGTGCACTCGATTCACGAGCCTCTAAGACGTACACAAATTATTGACCGCCCTCGTAATTTGACGGGAGATTTCTCAAGCAGTTTGGAGGGTTAATTGTTGTAAACATCCACTCTGCAGCTCGCTGCTGGCTCTGACTTTATATTTAACAGTGTGCTTATTTTTTATATCGTATTTTCCGGGCTATAGTCCAAGGTCTATACATGTTTAAAAGCTGAAAGTTTAGGCTGTGCGGACTCTCTACGCGTGCGGACTATACACGAATTTTGTTTTTCAAGATCGTTCATTATGAGGAGATGTGACGGATTTTGTGAGTGAAAGAGTATGTTAATGATGATTTATGTATATTATAGGCAGGCACGTAACCAGGGGGAGGCCCATGCCCCCCCCCCCCCCCCCCCCTTCCCCGAAACAAAATGTTGGCTACGTGCCTGATTGTAGGCTTCTTTGTGTG